GTGATGTGAAAATGTTTCGTTGCTGCAGATTCATCTCGAAGTTATCATTTGCCGCGCTGCCCACGATGTTTGCTCCGAGCCTCTCGTAGTAGCACCTCCTGGTTTAGTTTTAGTTTTGAACATGCTCTTAACCACTAGGTTATTCTAAACTAAGGCATAACATATCAAAATAACTAAGCATGCAGTATGAAAGAACAATAACAATGTATTGTATAGTAAAGAGAACAGACAATATAACATGCTGAAACAAGAGCATTACGTGCTGAAGAGAGTAGTATAACACGTTATACAGGAAGAACAGTAGCAAGTAGAAATAGAACAACTATAACATGTTGTACAGAAAGAACAGTAGCAGGTAGAAACAAAACAAGTATAACATGCTGTACAGAAAGAACAGTAGCAGGTAGAAACAGAAAAATTAAATGCTGAAAAATGTAAAGCAAACCCGTACGCCTGTGAGATCCGCTGTCCCTTAAGTATAGCAAACCTAAATGCATCTAAAAAAAAAACAAAGGCTGGAAGAAAACGTCATCCAGAAAATCCGAGGAAAAGCGCAAAAACTCGAGAGACTCGAAGAAAAAGACTCAAGTGAAAGAAAATCCTCAAAAACTCCTGGGGGAAATCACGAAAGAAAGAAAAAGTAACACGAGTGCTCTGTCCCAAAGCTTCGATAAAACAAAGAAACAAAATTCGGATGAGGGGGACCGCAAGCACTCGTATGGGACTAGGCTCAGATATATTTATTCTCGAGGATCCACGAAGGCTACTCGGTCACCCGAACGTATAGAACCCACCACTCGTCTAGAAGTGTGTCTTGAACCTCACTTAGGGGCTATTTCCCAGCCTAAACAGGTATTCATCAGGTGGACAACCAATTTTAAAAATGTATTTTTAAAATTTATGTTTTTGACATACACACAACTTCTTAGGCATGCAAAGAAGAGCTATTCATTTTTGTTTTGTGGAAACGCATATTTTGTTTGAAAATAATTTATCAAAACTTATCTTTTCTTTTATTCTGGTTGTCCGCGAGTCGATTACGCTACCGGGCATAGGACTGCCAACAACCTGAGGAGGTTCGAGCCGACTACTGCTAGACTTATGTCGGTGAAGGATACCATATCCTATTGTCCATCAAATGCCTGGATCTTGATGTTATAGGATAGGGTATCTTTCTGCTCTATCTACGGTGTGCCTTTATCATCAACACTGTACGCCTCAAAACGACTACTTGCGACCTTGCTTGATGGTTTCACGTATAGCAAAAGGCTATACGTGGACACTTATGCGTCGGACATAAGCATCAAAAAGAGCGAACCAAGAAGCAAGGAAAGAAAAGAACAAAAACGGGGTGAGAGAGAGGAGGAACTGATCCATCTAAAACACCGAGAAGGAGAATAGATCAGTCCTCAAAACTCGTATCGAAAAGACCTAGAAAAAGAGGGCCCAAGATCTTTCCTAACAAACATAAAGGGTCGCTTTGCGCTGACTTTTTGAACCCCAAAGACGTAGGATTGATCAAATCCACCAAATACTTC